GGGGGGGGGAAGAGTTTTCGAAGGAGAACTAAAGGCCGCCCGTTGTTTGCACTGCCTTAAGTGCCTATAAATCCATTACTTAAGGCCATCTAAGACGAGTGGATGCATACCGTGGCCTTCGAGCCCCACAGATTACTCTGCCATCAATAAAGGATGAGGAGAGAATACATAACAGATCTTCCAGCCTTTCCTCTCCCCGTATTTATCTACTACAAAGACACAAGAGCGTTCGACAATTTTTTCCCTAAAGACCCCGGCCTAAGGTGCCAACTGAAAATTACTTCATTGTCTTTTTAAGTAATGGACTCATTAATTCTAATGGGTATTGATTGAGGAAAAATACATTACGTCCTTATTAATGAGCCTGTCCTAGCACAAAGGAAACTCTTGCATGAAATAATGAATTTCCCTGCTAAGTACCAAACAGAACAGGGTAAATTGAAGAGACGGCAACAAAATGCATCTTGCACGTCTGCGGGTGAAGGAGAGGGCCCGCACGCAGCCCCCGATCTCCGCCGTCCACCCCCGGTGCTCTGCAAACGCCAGCGCAGCCCGTGGGCGGCCGCTCCCTCCTCCTGCCTTGTTCAAGGCAAGGCAGGTTTGCCAGAATAAGACCTCAAATTCTGCAAAAATAGTGGCATCCCAACGAAGAGAGCGAGCCCGGGTCCAACCGGAGAGCCGCACGTGTTACGCTTGCTCCGGGCTGAAAATAGACCTTATCTATCATCTGTCAACATCTGCTTATCACACGTCAGCGCTATTTCCCAGGCTCCACAACTGCTTCCATTTCTTTTTGTTTTTTTTTTTTTTGCTTCTATTTTGAGACAGAAGCTGAAAGGCTCGGGAAACGTGACTGCAGCTTCTCATTGCCCTCCACGCATACATCATCCACCCATTTTTTTCATTAAAATAGCGTCGAAAAAGCCACGATGGGGAGAAAACAGAAGAAAAGAAAAACTCCCGAGGCCCAGGAAGGAGATGACATTCTCAGGTGAGATCTTAAGGATGGGAAGTCACGCAGGATAAATGAAAACACAGTAACCCCCGCAAGTCAAAGCTCCTCTGATTCCATCTGTGCAAATTAACGGACGTGGTTTAGCTGCCACGCATTTTGGATAACCCACCTGGAGCGATGAACTGTTTGACGCTGGTGAACTTGGCTTTGTCAGGTACTGTGGACAGAGAACAGCCTTTCGGCACCGTCCAGTCCGCGGGCCTGCCGGGCTTGTCCTTCTCTTCGGCCGTTTCGTACACCTCGATGTGAGGTGGTTTCTCCGTCAGGTTTTTACTGTAGTGACTTAACCCGTACTGTGCAATCTGGATGGGGTAGAAATAGCCTTGAGGTCCCCACTGCGTGGACAACGGCACGCCTACGAGAGAGGCAGAAAATTAGTTTTTCATCACCACATTTTCAAAAAAACCCCCAGCGTTGGCAGCCCTGCACGCTCCTCCTCCTTACCCCATCACCCCTTTACTTCGAGCAAACGAGACCTCTAGGCTTTGCCAGTAGACTTGAGAGAAGTCCTGTCCAAGGGGTGAATTGCTCCCCTGGACACCGAGATCCCTGACTAGACACAAGCGAGCAGATTTGAGTGGCAGAGAAGCCCTTACCATGGTCTTCCATACATTCTCGTTTAATTGTTTACTGACGCATCGCACTTATTTTACAATACATTTAAAATGCCCTAACAGAGCTTTGCCCCCTACCCCAGAGACCACTGAATCTCCGAACGACGTTGCATCTAACACAATCCCTTTAACGCCACATAAATCTTTGCAAATTTAGCGTCTATGTTATTACTAGATTTTGGTAAGAGTTATTTGATGCTAGAAGAGCAATTTACCCAGCATCTACAAATCTGCTCCAATTACCTTGGCTCCCCCAGGAGCACTACAAGCGCAGTCTGAAGCGACGCTTGCAGAAACCAGCCAAGCTCTCCAGGCAACACCAGAATATGCCCCGGTTCTTCCACCCAAAGCTGTCCCTTGCCTTCAGGGCTACTGCTCCAGCCCAGCCGTCCCTGGGATCAACCCTCCACATGGACTCCCTGCCCCAAAAGCTGCCAGCCTCGCAGGAGAGCACGCTTTGTTTAGGGTTAGGGTCATTTTAGATTTAAAAAGCTGCACCGACCCGAAGAACCCCCTGAAACATCACCTCTTTAAAGGATTCAGAGCAGGAAGATCCCAGGGAACATCTTCTGTAGCCCGACGGACTGGATTTCACATGCAAAACGTGTTGTGTGAGCTCAGGCAATCTCACGTAGCCGTGCTTGATATAAAACTTCCACCCTCCGTTAGGATCGTTAGCAGAAGCGCCTGCAGAAAGCCCTGCCGAGCTCCAGGCTCCCCGCCGCCTGCCCTCCACCCGCTCCGGGGAGCCACAGCCTTGAGTTTTGGGTGGACAAACCCTCGTGCCATGACCTGCCTACTGCGTCACCCGCTGCGTGGGAAATGGGAGACAGACTGCGTGGAGGAGGCTTATTTATACCCGTGCCTCCAAAAGCCGGCAAACACGCGATACGTAAGATACGGATAAAACCAGGATTCTCCTAAAGCCCTGGATTTTATTTGGAACAAGTTCCCGACCTCTAAATACGAATCCAAAGCGGGAATATTTCATTGTGACCCTCTTGCAGGGGACCAAGGGTACTCAGTGCTGTAAACCTTCACGTGCAGGTAAGAAAAGAACAAAGATGATGAAAAAAACCAAGTTGGCATTTGCACCGTTTCCCCCCTTGGCAATGTCAAGCTCAGAAACCAATTTCTTCTGAAATCTGGTACAATGAAAAGATTACTTAAACTCAATGTAAAAAGGTACATTTTCATACATATTTTGGTGCTTTGCGTTACTAATAAATATTACTGATGGAGATGTGATGGCTTACTGCTGCCTAAAGAGAAAACCATCACGGGAAGTATTTAAATACCGTGTATTATCTCAGCTCCTGGAAGGCAGCTCGCTTATTAACGCAAAGCATTTTCAGTTAGGGGTGCATTCACTGAGACTGAAAGATGCAAAAAAAAGAAATCTGCTGTAAGAGCTTTACTTGAAATTTATACAAGATGACAAGATTAAATTCTCCAGGTCATAGGACATAACAACACATTAACCTTGCGGAAAGAGAGAAGGTGAAAACATAACACGAAGGCTTTTTCATCATGTAGCAGTATGAGAATCTCTGGGGCTGGAACGATGCAAGGCAAGAGCCTAAAACTGTCTGAGAAAGTATTTTAATATTAAACCCCCTTCCCTACAAACTACGACCATTCCTCTTCTCCCACGTGCTTGCTGGATGCCAATAACTCTTATTGCCTTTACAAAACCCAGGCTCTGGCACCGTGCTTTGCAAGGACCGATCTTAAATCGCAGGCTGCAAAAAAGCAAGGTTTATAGATAAATAACCCCACTGGCGAGCATTAAACTCGCCAGCCTCTCGAGGTTTAAGTAGAGAGCTATGCACAGCGCTTCGTGCCCGCATCAGGCAAGGCACGAGGCTGCCGGATCTGTCCTGCTTCTCAGTTAGTTCTTACCGAATTTCAGCTTTTTGCTGAAAACCATCACAAGGAGTCCACTCCCAGGGGGCATCTCGCGCATCTTCCACATTTCATACAAACACCGGTGGGGCTGCAAGACCTAAGTCCAAGCCCATGCCCAGCAAGAAAAGCAGCACCCATGGCTATTATTCACATTCACAAGCTGTTTTTAGTCGGCGATGACCGTAGCAATTAGAAGGCAAAGCCACCTCCTCAGCCTCTCACCTAAACCCTGAGCAGGGCAACGCTCACACGTAGCGGATGTGTAATTACCAGGATGCATTCGCACCTTGGGGAGAGCCCTGAGTTTCAGAGCCCTGTTTCCCTTCCTTGGCAGAGGTAATGAGGATGAGAGTTAAAAAAAAGTAATAAAAATGTGAGAGTAACCTTAAAAAACCCCAAACCACTGACATACCCTATTCATACCCTGAGCAACCTGATCTAGTTAGCGGTGTCGCTGCTCACTGCAGGGGGGTTGGACTAGATGACCTCTAGGGGTCCCTTCCAACCCAAAACATTCTATGATTCCATGATTCTATGATTTGTTCCCGAGACTCCTTCACAGACAAATTAACTGCATGACATGCCAGGTTTCTGCAGTGACTGTATGATGGGAAGAGCTCATATCAGCACAGCAGAGGATCGCCGATCACTGAGATGCATGAAAATGAATGTGTTTTATTAAGGAAAAGTTGGTCTTTAATTTATGAGGGGTCACAGTGTCACATTCCATAATAGTTTTATAAAGTCATTAATTTTTTAATATGAAACCTGATGAGAATTTTCTGCGATCAAATCTTTGCTGAGACGTGGGAAGACCTTGCGTCCTAATTACCAATTGCACGGTTTAGCAAAAGCGCAAATTGGAAAGGTTTTACCGTGTATCAATTTTATCCAGGGATGCTTCGATGGCTGGAGAGCTTCTTGACCCTTCGGCAGTTCTCCAAAACCGCCCAAGCAACGCAAGGGGACGGGATGTTGTTAAATCTAAAGACAAACCCCCAAATATTAAGCAGCCTGTGAGTGGCCAGGCTGTTCCACAGGTGCTGGCAGTGCTGTTTGGCTCAGGGCATGGGGCTGTATCTGTGCCCACAGGGAAGCAGGAGCCTCCTCAGACAGCAGGGCCAGGCTTTTTTATTTAATTTTAGATTTTAAAATCATTGTGGCTGCCTGACAGATACGACAAGCATCAACAACAACGTTAAAACCTGACAGCAGCACCGTAAGAGAAGCGGCCTGGCACTTCTCAAGTTTGCTGCAACCAGTAAAACCAGAGATCACAGAATCATAGAATAGTTTGGGTTGGAAGGAACCTCTGAATGTCACCTAGTCCAACCCCCAGGACGCAGGACGGGAGCTGGGAAAACCTGGCGTGAAGCAGAGACCGTGCACGATTTCTCCAAGTTTTTCTTATTGAGACTATCACAACAAAATTAAGATCACTTTGCATCTCAGCTGATGGCACCACATTTTAAAAAGCATTTCAACTATTAGAAGGAAATAAAAATACTCAACACAAACCTTCAACACCACTTATGCACTTCACTCTGTCTCGAACCTCTACGTTGTAGCCCTCGAAGGACATGAAGACCCCGTCGGGGTGGTAAGGTGCTCGCTGTGTGTATACTTTGGAGTAGCTATGAGAGAATTCAAACCTGTCATAACCATCGTACTGAGCAATTTTCCCATAAACCTCAAAGTATTTCTCTACCCAGCTGAACGGCAGGAAGACCTCGTTGCCTTCCCTCCTCCCTTTAACGGTGTGCTCGTCATTGATCAGACAGTCAATCTCCTCGTACTTCAGCCCCGGGGCTTTGTTGCTGTTGAAGCCTCCCGCGACGGGGGGAGCCTTCTGCTGCTCCTGGGGCGATGCCTCCTCGCTCTGCATCGGTTCCAGAGCAGCACCGTCACCAGGGTGAAGAGGGCGCAGATGATGATCAGAGTCTTGTAGTTGACCCGAGCTGCCAAGCAACGCATATTCACACCATACCTGCAAAACAGAGAGGGGAGAGCTTTTCAGGTGGGGGTGCTTAAAGCCAGAGCCCTTGGTTCTGTTCATTCGGAGCCCCGGTAGAGCCTGTCCGGCAGGAGCATCACCACGTGCATGCCACGATGGTGTCTGGTGGGAAGGGGACAGGTATGGGGCACCTAGAAGAGAATTTGGGTTTTTCCAGCTCTCCATAAGCAACGAGAGCAAACAGAGTCACGATTCACCCCCCGGCTGCGACAACAGATCGCTTCACCAAATGCAAAGGACGCAAAGAAACAGCGGCGACCGCAGGGCAACGGCTTCTAAATGAAAAGCTTGGTGTTAACGAGGTGCTCAGCAACCACCAGGAATCAGCGAGCAAACTCCCACCAGCCTCAGCACGCAGGAGGAAGAGAAATTCTCAGCAGAATATAACTGCCACCTACCCAGCACCACGGCAGAGGGATTTCCAACAAAACAGCCCTACCATCAAAACCTGAAGCCTAGAAATATCTGTAGTTCACACAGCTGAAATCACAGAGATACCTACTAAAAACAGACGCCTATTTTTGCTTTCTTTTTTTTGTTTAAAGCACAAACTACGACTGTTTTTCTGAGATGAAAACTCAACACTCATGGCTAGATCTATTCTTGATGTTGCCGCACCTCAAATGCACTTTTAAAACACTTAACGTGTACGAGGAGGAGCGAGGGGGCCGGTAACGGGGGGCTTTACAGCCAGAGCCGAGGCGGGGAGGGGGCCAGCGGCCCCGA